GCCGGAGCCGGGCTTCAAGTGCCTGCAGCGCGGGGTGCTGGCCACAGGGCGGGTGAGGGGCTGCTTTTCCTTCCCCCCACTCAGCTTTTCCCTGGGACACTTTTCCCCAGGCTCCTTCCCTGCCCTTCCCCCGTCTTTCCCCTTACCTGCAGTTCCGGCGTGGGGCAGCCGCATGGTCCCAGGCCAGAAGGCCCTTCCGTCTGGGGGGGCGGGGCCGGGCAGGCCCTGCTGTTGTGAGAGCCTGCCAGGGCTTCCCCTGGGTCCTATTGCCCTTGGTTCCTGTCATTTTTGACAGGAGTCAAGGGCAGAAAAATATTAATTTTCTAAATTTTTTAGGGGCCCTGCGGGCCAGATAGAATGATCTCGTGGGCTGGATCTGGCCCGCGGGCTGTATTTTGCCCACCCCTGATGTACATCATAGCAAATTTTAAAACAAATTAAGTCTCCAAGTTTTAAAATTAATAGAATTTGACATTTCTGGTTTTTAGTGTGGCACACCACCTGCTTCCTCTTTCTGGGACACAATTCATTTAAATATTTGAATTTACCCTGTTTATTTTTCAGAATAAAGCTTCATATATTTTACAACAGATATATGGTAATCTGAGCAAGTTCCAATTATCATAAAAATATCATGCCTTCAGGCTTGAACGCTATTGTCCTTTCTGCTTGCAGATATAAACATGAAATCCTTGTTCTGTACTTACTGTGGAACAGCTTTCATTCATATTTTTTGGATAAGGAAGGAGACATTTTTTCAAAACCAGTTTCTTCATCTTTTATATACACAATAAAATATAAATGAAGCAAACCCATGGAGAGAAAAGTGGGTCTCAACAATCATAATGCTCAATCGGATGCAATTGGAGGTGCTCTTTTAGGCTCTGGCTGCAGAAAAAAGGACCAACACGACTGATAAGAGGTGGAAAGAATATTTAATGTGCTGTCCTGTTTATATCCATCAGAGAGGGTGATGGTGTACTGTAAGAGACTTGCAGGCTATAGCTGTGAGGAATCTAGTATCTACCATGCTGGATCTTCCTCTACATGTAAGCTCTTCTGCCCCGTTGGCACAGTTTCTACCCATATTTCACCCCTAGCTGTAGCCTGCTCTCCCCACTAGTCTGTAAATTCTATCAGCGTAGTTTATTGGACAGGACTGACTCCTCTTCCCATAAGTGACCTGTCCATTTTCCCAGTATGCATAGAATATCCCAGTGTTATATCCCCAGTATCCTCATGTTCTTCCTTCAAATCTTGCATTGCATTTGTTATTATTAGCCTTCAGTCTATCCCGTCATCCATCTGAAAACTGACAAGATACATTTGCCCTTAACAGGAAATCTAGCTCACTGCTGTAACCGTTCATCTTTCCATGACCCTTTTCCCATACTGACCTGATTTCATCCCTTGCTGTTTTGATCTACAGAAGATCTTAAACTCCCACAACAGGAAGCAGTCATTTTAATAATTATGATTTGTATATTGTGGTAGTGACTAGAGGTCACAAATGGCCTATTCTCATGAATGCTGTACAAACACTTCGTGAATTATGGTACCCACCTCAAAGAATTTACAGTCAAATGGACAAAACAGACAAAGAGTGGGAGTAAAGAAAGATTATAGTTCTTGTTGTACAAATGAGAAATTAAAGCACAGAGAGGTCAAATGACCTACCAAAAGCCACACAAGAAGACTGTGACAAAGCAAGGATTTGAACCTAAATCTCCTAAGACTTAGCCCAGTGCCTTGCCCCAAGATACATCTTGTCCTCAGCATACCAAGCAGCGTGTGCAACTAAGCAATCACTAAATCACATGTGGCAAAAACTCTGGTCTCTTAAAAAACAAAAGGGAAAAGATGCCACAATGAGAAATGCCTGAATTTGGCCTGAGAAAAAAAGGAGAATGAACTACGGCATCACTAACAACAAGAACTTAATGAATAAACAAGAGCATTGGTGAAGGGCAGTTCCTCCATTTTGGAAGGGCAGCACTTGATGATGATGAGAAAAACCGTGTATTCTGTAGACATATAAAATATAGATTTATATATACAAATATACAATAGGAAATACAGGAAGTGTATAAATACTTACATGTAAAAATAGGTTTTTACTTTCCCCTTTTTACGATTTACAAAAGCATACAAAGTTCCTGTCATTTAATGTTTGAGCAGTGTGAGTAAAACCTGTGTGCCTGTTCCACACATACGTTTTTCAAGTTTTCACAGTATTGGTTCTTACAGTGATGAAGCTGAAATTCCAGGAGTTAAAATATTCCCAGCAAATCTTCCAAACGTAAAGAGACTTGCACGTTAATTTAAATACAGTTAAGAAAGCTCTCATATTTTGTTGATTTACGTCACATTAAAAATAATTCTGCTGCAACTGAAATGTTTTAGTGATGATAAACTCAGAGCAATGTGTTTCAAGTAGAGGCAGACAAATATGATAATTCTTGAGTAGCTTGATTGATGGGATAACCCTGGGAGGTGCTGACTCCTCAGTTTCAGCTGAAGTCACCACACATTGAGGACCTCATTATTGAAAATGACACCCAATTAAAGGAAGTGCCCTGCACCCAGCAGGATCAAATCCTAACATGGCTGTCAGTCTCCTTAGCTTTCCAACATACAAGAGTTTATGCTGGGTACTATCAGTGTTGTAAGAATAGATGCTTGCATTGCATTTTTTTTATCTGCAAAGTCTTTCATGGATATTAGTTACACCTCACAATGCCCTTCTGTGGTAGATAAATACTATCCCCATTTTTAAAGATGGACAAACTGAAGTAGAAAAGTGAAACAAACTGCCAGGCTGTTAACGGTCCAAACTGGTGTTAGAACTCAGGAACAACATGCTATAAGGGTATGTCTAGACTGCGTTCCATGGTATGATGGCACCTCATTTAGACATACATTAGTGAGCATTTAACATACTTTGCTCTAGTACTGCTAGCAGCACAGCCACAACAGCCCATGATTCAGAATGTGTTACAAAATGCCCAGGTATGCATGTAAATACTTGGGCAGCAAGTCTGCAGTTTAAAACTAACTTGGGTCTGGCCACACAAGCTGCAATTATGTCTTTTGATTGCAGAATAGATATAACTTCAAGTTCTGCCCTCTTGACCTCAAATACTCTCCAAGATTTTGTTATTATTCTGCTTGTAAAGCTACCGCTTTGCAACCCTGGTACAACTATGGTTGATATCCCAGAAGGAGAACTTATATTAGCTAACACAAAGATGTTTCCCTTAAAACCTGCAAATGTTTGAAACATCATCCAAAACAGTTATAGGCCAGCTAGTATAGAGGTAAGTCAGTTTTCAGAGCTCCTGAGTTACTCATGGGCTTCTACCCTATGAATAACCTTTTATATGGGAATGTTCTACAGATCAGGAACCATATTTATTCCATCTCTTATTTTAATATACCCTTGGTTGTTCAGGTGCATGTCAATGTGCACACACACACACACACACACACTTTGGTGGTCCTTAAAATTTTTCTAGTCATATATAAGATTACTATACATAGTTACCTCAGAATTTCCTATGTTTCCTTGCATTTCCTTATAGAAAATTGCTGTTTGTACTGCAAACCTTGAGGTTCACTGGCTGCAGATATTCATTTTAATTATCTAAGGCAATTGACCAGATTAAAGGGCCACCATTCTGCGTGCATAAACATGTATAACACAAAACCACTGTCATCTTAAAACTGCCATTGTCTTGAATTAAAATCCAGTTAAAGTATAAAGTGCATTATGTGGTGTGAAGCCCTAAGAGATAAAGCAAGAAACTCATCTGCCTTCCACAGACTGGTAAACTTTGCTTAACAGCTGAATCATCATCTAATTTTTCAGTTTTATATTCGGCAGGTAGTCTGAGAAAGTCCAGTCAGATGTAAGCAAAATCAGTGTAAACTGAGTCAATTTTGTAATATTATGCTACTAAAGGAGGACCAAAGGAACCAGCATCAAGACACTGTCCAGTTGGGGTGCGTAAATATTATTGTGTGCTTCTTGGCCCACTTAGCAAATACTTTCTTTTCAGTAATAAACCTATGGCCTCCATAGGGAGCATTTTCATGCAGAAAGTATTCATCACATTCATCTCTTCCTGGCTCATAGTAATGGTAAGGAACTTTTCGAAAGCCTTCTGACCTAGAAAAGAAAATTAAAAACACATAGGCTTAAATATGTTTTCTAAGAAATCCAATATATACAATGCAATTGTATTTTTTAGAATCACATCCATGTGTAGGGGACGACCCAATTTGAGGAGTTGACCGGCTGATTTCACGGGCAGATTGTGGTACTGGCCACCTACCCTGGTAGGTGAGGAGACCAAGGGGTTACACAGAAGGCTCAAGGTTTACTTGAACTTATCCAACTTAAGAAAATGTGGCTTGATTTATTATAGTACTGCATGCATAAATCTCTTGCTTTTGTGAATAAGAAACATGTTTACTATATATTCCATTCTTCTTCTTCTATTGATTAAATATGAATGATTTAGATCTTAAGATGATGGCACAGAATTATACTTGTGACAATAGAAGGAATGAGACAACAGGAGTACCAACAATTGTGGGTATGAAATTACATACCTTACCTGGATCAAACTCAGAGGACTTGTTTTATTTTCTAATTAGAAACCCCCTGCTACTCATACCAAATTATATATAAACCTAGAAAGCTGAAGTAGGTTGCTTATTTATTGGTGATACATAATTATATATAACTACCCTGAGCTAATCAATTCATTTAATTTCTACGTGTATTTGGCATTCAATGAACCAGCAGATTAATGTTTCCTCTACACATTTGTTTCAGCAGAAAGAATATGTGAGTTTTGTCAAAAGAACAGAAATGTTCAGTTTCCCAAATAACTCAGAGACTGTAGGAAGTCTTTGATTAAAAAAAGTTTCTTCTGACATTTGACATTAAGCTTTTGTAAATATTTTTATTTTATCAACACCAAATGCCATATCAGAACTAAATATGCTGACAATATAGTGTCACATCAATGCAGAACAGTGGGAAATGGCTGCCTAATCCATTTCGTGGATTTATGATATTAAAATGAATTGTGAAATTTTGACAAGACATCAGAATTGTAGATGCATGAAAATAATTTCCTGTGATCTTACTTGCAGTAGGTGTCATTTATCATCCCATAGACGTGAATTCCATAGCAGGCATCCATAGCCAGAATTAAGGTAAACCAACCAGTGCTGAGATATGAACCTGACTGGACTCTGTAAAAACACAACACACACAACAAATTTGCAATGTGAAATTACTAACACTTTATCAGAGAAATATCATCTATTACCTGGGACAAAAGGCATTAAGCAACTTGCCAATCTGTCAAAAACATACAATTATTTTGAATTATTTATAGGTGCGCTCTCCTCCTCGCTAGCTTGGGGCTCCAAGCTATAAGTCCACAGAAGAAATACCATATGCTAAGTATTGGAAGTCAAACGATTCCAGCCCCATAAGATGGTAAGTAATTTATTTGTACATTAGAAAGATGAAAATTAATGTAGAATACAAGATGAGAGATTATAAGTACAGCCAGGCATCACATTAACAGAAGGGAAGTCTCTTATGTGTATACATATACATGTTCACTCACACACTTTCATGGGCACTAGAAGTACTTTGTGGCACAATGTACTACATGCTGCATGAATACTATAAATCTATACAGACACGAAACTTTTAAGGTTATGTTAACTAACGATTGGCCAACAGAATTTCAAAGGACTTGAAAAATACAACTCATCTTTATTCTCATTATAGAAGATGACATATAGGAACCAGGGAGAGGAGTGTAAGGAAATTGGGCACAATTTGGCAACTTTTATTCATGCATCACATTAGTTCCATTGAGTAAGAACTAATTGCACGAGAAAGGATTTGGCTCACAGTTTCTAAATGCCTCCTATTTGGATAAAAGATATATGACTTGTTAAATAAAGGTCCGATCCTGTTCACATTACTTAAACTAGTAGTACCATTGGGAGTCAACAGAAGTACCATATAATCAGAAGAAGCAAGATCTGTTGCTTTAATACCTCATAAATAAATGATAATACAGTTGGCACTAATGGCTTAAAAATTGGTTATAGTCCAGGTTTTCTTAATGTAAGTATTCCTTTCAGTTCTAATGAGAGAAATGAAAATAATACCCTGAAAATTAACAGTAAAAGAAACTCCAGATGACAAATGAAAACATCAAGTCCCAAAGTTGACTAAATATAGCCCAAATGCAGAGCTCAGTTCAGGAGGGTTGAGTGACAGGAGAGGATAAGTTGAATGTCTGGTATTTTTATAGTCCCCATATTTTGAATACAGTCAGGAAACAGTCTATTTTCCATCATAAGGTAAAGGAGTCTGCACTTTTCTCTCAATTAAATTTGGCTACAAGGGGCTTCTGAATAGAGATGAGTAGAAAACTACAAAATATTTTCCAGTTTTGAAAGGTTTTTTTCCACGTCAGGAAGAGAACTAAGACCTTTCAAGACTTTTTATTTATTTATTTTTTAAAAGTCAGAGAGAAACTCACTCATCCCACAATGCCCAAGTTGTACCTAAGGAAGGTACATCCGTGAGATGTACCTTCCTTAGGGAAGCTAAATTGAAGTCTTTACTGTGCTTGATTCAGAACAGGGCTTGAACCCATGAAGTGCTTATGCTAGGGATGTGTGAAGTGGGCCCTATTCGATTTGGAATTAGATTTGGGCTGAATCAGGGACAGTGATTTGATTCGTTGATTCAGATCACTGTCCCTGATTCAATTCGGCCGAATCCAAATCTGAAGATTCAATGCTGATTCGGAGAATCAACGATTAGGAAACAGATATAGCTTTAAAATGTTTTTCTACATACCTTGAGGTAGCAGGTGCAGCTCATGATATCTGTGGTGCTGGGGCACATGTAGTGTCCCATAGGAGTGTGGTGGGGGGGCCCTCCACATGCTTAGCGGCGAACCTGGAAGTGGGCCAGAAGTACTTCTGGTTCATTTCCAGGTCTGCTGGGGAGTGTGCTGGGGGGGGCTCCCCCATGCCTCCCTGGCTCAACAATCGGCCGTGGGGGGACCCTGGGTGCCCGCCAGACCCAGGAGGCACCAGTTGCCAAGCTAGGGGGGTCATTCGAGGGGTGGGCCCTGGAGTGCTCCCTGGTGGACCTGGAAGTGGACCGGAAGTGCTTTTGGTCCACTTTTGGGTCTGCTGCTGAGCGTGCTGGGGAGCCCCCCCATGCTCCTGTGGGACACTCCATGCATCTTAGCATTGCAGCACTCATGAGCCCCTGCTACCTAGAGGTATGTAGAAAAAACATTTAAGCTGTGTCTATGTCCAAATCGCCGAATCTTTCTGAATCTCTCCAAATTGATTCAGAGGGTTCCGATTCGATTCGAAGAGATTAAAACGCCCTCTCATTCTATTCAGGTTCAGTGATTTGGCCACTGAATTGGGCCAAATCTCAGCCTAATCGAATCAGGGACCAAACCTTCGCACAGCCCTAGTATATATGTACTGAATACCCTAATCACTGAGCTACTGCTTACACTTTGTTAGGTTTCTCTCCTTTTGGAGCTGTTCCACTATAACTAACTATTGGAGCAGGAACTTAACCCACGACTTCCCACATCTCACCTAGAGATAGTCATACAGATGCTGTACTGCTTCCTCACTCTCCCTGTTCCACTTTGTATAAATAAATAAATGTTCACTGGGGAGGGAAAAAGAGAGGATCTTTATATGGCACTCCCTTTGGATGCAGAAAACTACTGCACCAATGAAGAATTAATTCTTTAAACAAAGTTGAATACTCTAACAGAGTGACTTACTTGCTACAAAATAGGGCTGAGGGGACTTCTTTGAGGTGTAGGAAGCTGAGTTTTAAACTCTCACTCTGAATAAGTATTGAGCTACGGGTATCCTACATCCCCACATGAGGGCCCTAAAAAAGTTCCCATTTGATTATTAGGGGATGCTTCTTCTCTTTTTCTTGTCCACCTTTTTCTCCCCGCTCCCTCCCCCTCAGAAAAAAAAAATTCTAGCCAGGACCCAAAAAATCTTTCTTGTTGAAAACAGCATGTATGTTCCTAAGAAATACTCCAGTTCCAATGTACTGCCATTGTCCAATGTAGAACTGTTCACTGGAACATTTCTGTACCACTCAACTCCCAAATCTTACCATATACAGGACCGCCAAAAAGGAAAGGGGCTTTGGCTATACTTTGCTTTCATTTCCATTTCCCTATCTGCCTTTGTGATAGGGGTTCATATTCTCCCAGCTCTACAGTCTCCACAGAACCCCCATGTGGGGATTCTAGGGATGAGATTCAGCTGGCTTTGTGGAAGCTAAAATTGGGACAAAGATATTTCAAGCTAGTGATGAGGAAAAATATGCATGTAGGAAAGAAAGGCAGGGAAATCAAATGAAGGCTATCAATCTTTCGCCAGGGGGACACTGAATACTGTTGTACTTTGGTAATAGACAGACATCCTTATAATTCTGAAACTGCTTAAACTTACTTGCTCATCTCTCAGAAAAAATAGTGTTATTAGAGTCATGATGCATAAAAGACTTAAAGGTATATAATTTAAAGAATGATCTTGGAGCCAATTTAATGAAATGTAAACAAGGAGGTATCTATATGTCTTTTCTGCAAATATTATTCCTCTCCTATCCTTCCTTTCTGTTTTATGCTTGAAATGCTTATCCATGCAGCAACCATCACAAGTGACTCACTTCAAGATTGTATTTTCTTTGTGCCCTCCATTACCAGTTTTTTTTGTTAGTTCACTTCTATGATTGTCTCTAAATCACTTTATCTATCCCACAGATTCTCCAGTTATTCAAAGCAGATTCTTTTACTCCTGCCTAACATAAAAAATACTCCAGCTTCCATAATTCCCAAGCAAGACGTGGGGAACAGAAGTGGGTACTCCAAAGTAGCAACCTGAAATGCTGAGCTACATTGCTTCAAACAAGCAGCTTGCTTCAGCACCAAAAACACACTAAACTTGAGCCTTTAAAGCTAACCATTTAGAATCATAATAGCCATTTATCAGAACACTATGAAGATCAGGACCCTTCCGATAATGGAGGTTTATTGGAGAGTATACTATATTGACAACAGCTTCTGAAATCTGCTATACTCAGGAGTAAAAAGGAATTTTGAAAAAGAGTTAATCAATATTTCATGTCTTGTTTTAACACCATTGGACCTTAGTCCTCTCATCAATATACTACACTGGCAGGATAAACAAAAACAGCAGAGTAAGTTCCCAGATACCCTCTCTGGGAGCTAGAGTACATGACAGAATACAGATTGTGAACTTTAAAACAAAGCATTTCTTTCCCTCCCCCATTTTTTTCCTGAAGATATGTAACTAATGAAGAACTGCAGGTAACAGTAGGGATTCAGGATGATTTGTAACACCTTCGAATTCAATCTAATTCAATCTGTTGCTGTAAACATATTTTTGACATTCTAATGAAAACAATACTAGAAGTGTGAAAACAATTTTAGCTGTCCCTAAAAAGCCATAAACCTCTGAACACCTTTTAAAATATCATCTGAGGATACTATAGAACAAAGTAACAGCAATGCATCAGTCCTTCCCTATTATATTAACAATGAATATTCAATTTGTCTCTCTGTAGTTTGTATCCTACAAGTCTTTTGGCCATGCATTTATGTCACATATTTGAAAGAGTCCCTTTTGTCACTGTAATTGCATTTAAGTTTTATGATGTACCTATTAAAAGTAAACAAATCTTCAATTTCATATGGGTCGCCAGCACACGGGCCAGCCCAAACTGAAGGAAAAAAGAACCCAACTCCACTACAGTCAGGAAAATCTACGTTTCTCAAGCATGCTTTTGTTGAAATCCTATAGGCAAATGTATTATGATGTATGCAAGTAGTGTAAGTCTAAAATTGTTCCCTATGGCTTAGAGTGACTTTTTCTGAGCCATAAGAAATTAATGGGAATCCAGACCCAGAGAGGAAATTGTCTCAACAGCTGAAGAGAAAAATAATATACCATTTTTCAAAAACACACATTGAAAAAGAAGATGCTTTTGTTTCCAAGACATGATTTACAGCTGGGCATAGCAATAAAAAGACAATGTTTATTAAAAGTTACTTTGTCCATTTATCTTGGAAAAACTTATTTTGCCAATATCCTAAAATTTAGGGCTTCATAGCAAAATATAAGTAATTAGGGGAGTGAAT